ATGGGCATTGGACCTAGGGCTTTGTGCATGTCTACTGCTGATCTATACCCTCAACCATCTTATTTTTTATTTTGAGACAGGATCTTGGGAAGTTGCTGCAGATAGCCTTGATCTCACTCTGTGAACCAGGCAGGCCTTGAACTTTCTGCTTGGCTTGCCTTAGTCTCTCAGGTAGCTGGGATTACAGGCCCATGACACCAGGCACTGATAAGAACACGTGTATCTACATACCAGATCAACCATTGTATGTGGTCTAGTCTATTTGTATATAGTGGGGGTTTCCATCCTGTGAGTCATTTGAAGGTCTATCCTGTTTGTAAAACCAGTTTTACTTGAACACAATACGAAAATATCAATGCAGCTTCTTCTTCAGAAGTCTTCATGGGAAAGATCGCTTCAGTTGTCATCTTAGTGGGAATAACTTCTTGTATTTTTCATCCAGCACTGCTGCCTCCTTTGTTTAACTGAGAGTGTTTAAAACCCCTTTCTGACATGTCAAAAGCTGCTGCCCAAGCTGTTATTGTAAAGTTCAGTTTTCTCAGGGCTGGAGATATTGCTAAGTGGTTAGAGCATGGGCTGCTTTGCCAGAAGACCCAGGTTCAATTATCAGGACCTACAGAGTGGTTCAGAACCATACACGTAGGTTCATAACTTCAGTCCCAAGAGATCTAGTAGCCTCCTCTGGCCTCCACAGGCACTAGGCACACCATGGTGCATAGACAAAAGACTTTTACACATAAAAGCCAGGCCTCCCTAGGTTTTTTGTTGCCTCACATTCTAGACTGTATATTGCAGGGACCCAAGGAAAACCTTTGTTATAAGAAAGATGAAGATAAAAAAACAATATAGTCTTCAGGAGTGAAAGAGGACCCAGGCAATAGGAGAGGAGAAAACTTCCAAATTACCCCACTAAAGGAGTTTGAAAATATCACCTATTACAAAAAATAGTACAAGGAAGAAACCACCAGAGACTAAAGGGCAATTCATTACAAACTAAAATTACAGTCCACAGAGAAGGCTTGGTGGAAAGTTACTTGAAAAAAATTATTCATGGAGATCAACTAAATATCCTGTGTTTGTTAACCTCTACAAGACAAGCCAGTGTCCAAAACCATTTCTGTGTTGCTTAGAGCCATTTAAATGAAAAGGGTCCCCCCATTGTGACTTCCGTCTGCCTCCCAGAGGGGTGGAAAGGCATGGTGTTCTCTAGTTCACTGGGTGCATAGGAAGTTTGCACAGCCATTGTGAATCAGGTGACACACTCTGCCCCTTGCTCAGCACAGGCTTCTTGCCGCATCTTGCCCTCCCCTCTGCTTGAAGGGACAGCTGCACCCCCTGCCCAGGCTCTGTAGAAGATGGTGCTCTTCAGCAACAACATGTCATTGAGCTCCTTGTTGACATTCACTTGATTAGGTTTGAAATATAGCAGTAGGGGTGCTCTTCAGGAGTCTGAGTTTAAAAGTGACAGAATCTCCTGCCTGTTACTCCTTTTTATTGCTTCCTAATCCTATGAAAGCTGCTGTGGGATTTGGGGCCATCCCTAAATGCTTTCACAAAAAGTCTGAGTTTCTGTCCTCTGGATCTCAACAGTCCCAATGAGGGTTCCTCCCCAAATAACACATCTGTGGAATATAACTTTGAGTTTTAAAAAGTTTTCTGTTTACTTACTGTAACTGAATAGAACTTGGGAAAATGTTCTGAGAAAGAGTTTTTAGAAGATTTAGAAGATTAGAAGGAGGGTGGCATCTCAGTCCATAAAGTTCTTGAGGCACAAGCATGAAGACTGGAGTTGGATCTCCAGAACCAGATGCGCTGCTAGGTGCTTGCCATCCCAATGCTGCAGAGATGAAGACAGGATCCTGGAGCCCATCATAGATGGCGAGCTCTCCACCAGTGAGAGACTGTGGCTCTCAAAAATAAGGTAGATGATGCCTAAGGTCAGCCGAAGGTTGACCTCTGGACTCACCATATAGGTACAGACAGACACATACTCACAGAGACTCACACAGGCACACACAGACATACATAGGTGCATACTCACAGAGACTCACAGACAGTGACACAATCACACACACACACACACACAGTCTCACACAGACATACATAGGTGTATACTTATAGAGACTCACACAGACATATACATAGGTGCATACTCACAGAGACACATACACAGACATACACACACCATCTCACACACAGAGAGACACACACAGTCACATATGCATACAGACAAACACACAGTCATATACAGACACAGACACACACAGTCACACATAGCACACACACACACACACAGTCACATACAGTCATACATGCAGATATATACGCAATCACTCACAGAAACACACACATCGTCACATACACATATGCATACAGACACACAGTCATAAGCAAATAATATATGAAAACATAAAATATAAAGATCTGGACTGTGTATCTCTTGTAGATTTCTAGGACTTTCTATATATTGGACATAGAGAAAATTTTGTGTAGCACAGTGTTGCCGGATATTTGATCGCACCGTGAAACCCAAGACTGTGTTAAGAAAATCAACCTTGGATCAGGGGGCAGAGCCAGCAACTAGTTGACAGGAATTAGCCATAAAGAATATGGAGGAGTCAGGAGGGCAGATAGAGAGACACAGGAAGGGGTAGGGAGGGACTGGGAGTATCGCAGTCTCTTTTGGTTTGGGACAGCTGGGAAGACACACTCTTGCTGGGTTTCTGGCCAAAAAGAAGGTAAGCTGGCTGATTCTCAGCCTCTCTGAGCTAGCAGGTTTGCACCCCTACATCTGACTACTGAGTCTTTAGTGGTAAATAGAATGATAGAGACTTAATTAGAACTACATTTGGTGGCAGCAGCAGAGACAGTGCTGGTGGGACCAGAAATCCTGCCAGGCTGCAGCCTGAGCAGCAGGGCACTGATTGTGGGGCCACGGGCTGCAGATAGTAGTTAAAATGCAGAGGCAGCCACTAAGAGCAGGGAAAAACAACAGCAAATGGCCTCTTATTGCTTTATTGGTCTTGTGATATGCTTCCAAATTTGTATTTCCAGATACAGTTGTATATTTTGTCCTAATCTTGATGTTCTGGAATAGGCAGACACTTCCTTGCCATTCATCCTGCCTGGGACTGCTTTATCTACTTGTAAAAAATTGGAGCATTGCAGATTGTAGTGGAAAGATCCCTTGATATACAGCATATGGATTTTTGGAGGCTTGTGGCTGATTGTCTTCTAGTTTTATTCTGTAAGAGTAAGAGCTCCTTAGGAACAGCCTTGTGGAGAGGAGAAAAACAGTGTAAGCGGGAGGTCTTCATGTGCAAAGCACAAGGCATGTGTCAGTTAATTTTCTGTGTCTGTACTTCTGGTCTTGTCAGCTCGCTCATGCAGGAGGGCTAATTTGATGGAAGACATCATTGATTGGGGTTTAGTTTAGTGGCCAGACACTTTTGTCCAGCAGTTTTGAGTCTCTGGATTCAAGCCCTCATTACTGTGAAAGAAATAAAAGAAAAACAAAATTATTTTAAAACCTACTACAGCATTGAAAAAATGATACTTATATTTTCACCTGATGGCAACAGAGCACATGGACATGCTTTTCCTCCTCTTATTAATATGTGTTTTTCCATAGGAGTGTACATATTTAAAATAAGAAAAATGGTATTTTAAATGGAGGGACCTAGGTGTAAAAAAGAGGTAAGAGCCTGGAATGTTGCTGTGGCACATAAGACCCTACTTTCCATCCTTGTATGTTGTGGGAGCATTGTAGGTGATTGTTTTTTCTTTTGAACTTGATCCTTCATGGGTTTGGGCAAGTGTTGCATGAGGTAAATGTGTATGATGGGTAAAGATGGGGGTGCTGCTGAACCCTAATCTGATGCTAGTTTTGTTAAGACTGTTCAATCTTTAAAGGATATTTATTTTGTTTTTAGTGTGTGTGTGTGTGTGTGTGTGAGTGTGTGTGAACACCTAGGAATGCAAATGGGCAGAAGAGGTTGTTGGATGCCCTGGAGCTGGATTTCAGTTGTTCACTGCCCAGAATGGGTGCTGGGAACACATCTCGGCCCCTCTGCAAGAGCAGCAACCCACTTTCCTGGTGCTAAGACGCCAAGCACATGCCACCATACCCGGCTTTGCCTGCTCTTCTCTTCTCTTTCATCTCTTTCCTTTTTATTAAATATAATGCTTCTGGAGGTGGAACTCAAGTTCTCCTGCTTTCATGACAAGTCCTGTGTGGAATGAACCACCCCCTTGGTCCCTATTGCCTTTCACATAATGTCTCAGATGTACTCCATTAGTTTTTACAATGCTATCTGCCTTGTTTTCCAGCCTGTGCTTTTGTACCTAGACACAGAAGCACCCGTTTTTCCTCTTTTATAATCGTTACTGCATTCAGACATTCGGAGTCTTGCAAGACTGCACTCACACAGAGGCCTCCCGTTTCTGAAATGTCTGTGCTGACTTGTTTCCAGATGTCCAAGGAACACCATTTCTGAGTGGCGTGTGTTTATGCTGCGCCCTCCCACCCCTTCTCGATTTCATGCCACCACTCTCATTACCACACACCGTTTCTTCTTACGTGAAAACTCCTCTTTTCCTCCTATTCTATAAACCTGCTACACAGTTCAGAGCCTGGCTTTGTTCTCCCACTGAGAAATGCACCGCTGATGCTCTAGCCCTCCTTAGCTGTTTTCTCTTGGAATCTTTCACACTGCTGCCATGTCGTCCTTGTTGCTTCTGACAGTTATCTAAATAGGTGTAACTCCTAAGGGCCACAGATTCCTCCCCTCTCTAAATGTCCAGGTGCATGGTAGGCATTATGTCCATACTTGATAACACATATGAGACTGCAATTTTATTATTCTTTACTTAATCATAAGCCATAAAATTCAGAAAAATAATGAAGTAAACTGGACATACAGAGAGCTGCAGTGACTTGCGAGCGTTTGATACTCCACTGATGTGTTGAAGTGTTTGTTTTTTCTCCCTTGTTTTGCTAGCAATCAAGGAGAAGTACACAGACTGGACAGAATTCCTCATACGTGACTTGACTGGTTCTCGGACAGCGCCTGCAAACCTTCTGGAAGGTGTATGTATTGCTATTATTCATCTATTATAGCTCTGAAGCACTCTGGTCCTGTGATCTCAAACCTAGTGACACCTTTGCATATATCCTTCTGCGGATACATGTGGACACAGATGTATTTATTATTTTTATGCTCACAGCCTAACTTCCGGTTTCTTACTGAATTATAAAGGTGATGGATTTGGGTGGTATTGGCTGATGTTTTTCTGTTTTATAATCAATAAATGGGAAATTTTCTCTGCTCGAGTGCATTTTACAATTATGTATCAGGATGTCTTCCCATTACCCTTAAGCCTTATGGTTTAGGATAACTTTTTGACAGGCGATGACTAAGCATATTTATGTGCTTACTGTAGTCTCCTGGAGTCCATTAATAAGTAGCAACACCAGTTGTTCATCTTGGGTGCATAATAACTCCATGATCTCACACATATGTGTTACCTAAGACTATTGATTAGCTTTCTCCATAAAACAAGAGGAGACAAGACTAACTGTATTGGAATGTAGCTGACGTAGTTTTTAGGTATAGAAGCAGAGTAATTTAACCTTGAGTTTTGATGATGTATCTGAAAATGCTATAATGAAATCTTAGTAATTCTTATATGTACTTGTACAGGAAGACAAAGCAGTGTGTCACATGTAATTATTAAGTTACCAACTCTGTCTCATGGGTACCTCAGAAAGGGGAGCCCTAAGTGAATGGCTGGGAATAAGATGTGGATTTTCATTATCATTACTATTATTGTTGTGTTGCTGTTGTTATTATTATTTTTAACCGTAATTCTCTTCTATGGCAATGGTATTAATATGTAAGACAACCACTATGTAATATAGTGCTTATAAGTAACTTGTGATGATTTCACCTGATATATTTATCTTAATGGGTTGAAAGACTGCAATGATGATTACTCGTCATTTCAGAGGGACAAGTTGCCTCACCTTGTTAATTGTTAAACATATTTGCCTATGAGGTTAGTTAAACGGACACTCTTCATACGCTAAGCAGGTTCCTCAGAAAGGGCAGTACTTAAATTTTCCCAAAGCAATAACCAGATTAAGTAGTACTTACTTTCTTCATATGCCAAGAAAGTTCCTCAAAAGGGGCAGTACCTGGAAGTTTTCCAAACCAATGTCCAGGTTAAGTAATAGAGTAACTTCACATAATATAGCCAAATGTTAAAAAAAATCTGATCCTATAATCCCTGTTCTGGGGAAGCAGAGGGAGGCAGGTCCTGGCTTCACTGGCCAGCCCCCCTACTTAGTTAGAGTTCCAGGCTAGAGAGAGACCCTGTCTCTCTCAAAATGGTTGATAATGACTGAGAAACAGCCCTTGCGGTTGTCCTCTGGCCTCCACACATGTGTAGGCATCTACATGCCCCACCCCTCACATAACGAGAAGCTGAATGTAAGTGAACGCACACATATGTTAGACAGCTGCACATCTGTACACATCTGTATTTACTCACTCAATCTGTGTATGACAGTGTTTAGGCTGTTAATAGATGGCACTATAAGGTGAAATTCTCTTAAGGAGTCAAGGTATAAATTCATATAACTATATTAGATACGTCTGTCAATTTGAAAATAGACATTTTGTTAACAGATGTTTTAGCTCTGGGTGCATCTGAGTATAATTCTACTTAAAATGTACTAATTTCTAACAAATGTAATTTTATTTGCGAAGGATAACTTGTTTGATAAAATACTAGCATAAACTGTTATTTTCTATTTACATGTGATTTTTTTGTTGTTGGGAAATGATGTGGATGTGTGTGAGGGAGGAAAGGGAAGTGGGTTGTGTGTGGGTGATGTCTGAACAGAGGATTGGGGAGGGGGTGACGCCAGACTGTTTGGCAATAGCTTGGAAGATGGTGTGAGAAAAATATTATCTTCTGCTGTCATCTGTTTCCATGAGAACCTTAAAATCAAGTTTAAAATACGGAGTTTTGCTTCTGTTTAAACAGCCTCTGCGAGGGAAAGGCCCTATAGACCTCATTACAGTTGATTCCTTAATAGAGCTTCAGGACTCTCAGAACCCCTTTCAGTACTGGATAGTTAGTGTGATTGAAAATGTCGGAGGAAGATTACGCCTTCGCTATGTGGGATTGGAGGACACTGAATCCTATGACCAGTGGTTGTTTTACTTGGATTACAGACTTCGACCAGTTGGTTGGTGTCAAGAGAATAAGTACAGAATGGATCCACCTTCAGGTAAGAGCTGACATTGTTCCTCTGTGATGTACTTGAGATGCCAAACTCCTGTGGGTGTGTCTCGGAGCACATCCCCTGCTGTGTCTTCTACATGCCAGGATGTGCGTTTTAAGCATTTTAACCTCAGAATCTTTTGTACAGAGACTAAAATCCAAGGTGCTGATTAGAAACCATCTCAAAGGAGAACATGGTGCTGTAGCCTCAGGAAGTGCTGTCACTGGCTCAGAAACGAAAGGGGTGATTCGAGCATGGTCTCCCTATTTTTTAGGGGTTGTAGTCTTGGAAGCATACTCCACAATCTCTGTTTGCTTGCACATCTTTCTGATTACCTGTTTTCTATTCATCCACTCACCCATTTTTCTGCCCACATTCATCTGTGCATCTACATTCCTGCCTGCCCACGTATGTGACTAGACATCCATTTAAGCAATCTGTCATCATCTGTATATCATCCATTCCTCTCCCCCTCCTTCCTTTTTTCTTCCTATCCGTCAGTCTGTTTATACCCATTCATCTATCCACATTCATCCTGTTCCCACCCTCCTACTTACTCCTTATGCAGCCTTACATTCATTTATGCATTGACATCGGCCAATCGGTTGCTCTTTCTACCCGTCATACCCATTCATTTGTCCAGATCCATCCATACTGCCTTCATCCATCACCCGACCTTTTCGTTCACTCAGCTGTGCAACCGTACCCTACCCATCCATGTCTGTCATCCACCAACCCATCCATCATCCATCCACCTATCTATCATTTACCTATATCATTTACCTATTTATTTTCTGTATGTTTACCCATACAAATTCCATAACACCTGCTTCTGATTATGAATTCATTTTGACAAGGAAACAGCAATGAAAGGATTAATATGCTTACCCTTTTCCCCTATCAAGTTACCAGGTAGTTTCAAGTGGACGGGCAAATGGCTTTGTATAAGCTTAATTGGATAGAACAGTGCATTCTTCCCTCTGACAGATCTGTCAAAAATCTCATCTTTACAGAATAACCATCCTTAAATATTTGTTATATTCTAGGTGATTCTACATCTGTTGTGTTGTTTGATTCCAAAAATGTGGTGCATGTTTGGTGTGACTCTCTTTCAATAGCCAATGGCAGGACTATGATTAAGATTAAGCTGCTTCTCCATGATGGTCTGGAGCTTGTAGTTGGAGTTCCCAGGTCCTAGGTCCAGTGCATCTCATTGCCTCTGCTGACGTATGCTACTTTTGATGAAAAACCTAGGGACAGAAATGTCATATTGTTAATACACTTACACATGCCAAGGAAGAAATATGTCTTTCTGATAGAATTTTATTCTGTGGTCAGCTTTACAGGTATATTTAGAACAACTAATTAGTCGATGGCTTCATTAAAATTGCTCTTGTGTTGGTTGCCAGTGTGAGTCTTGTGCATACGAAAGTGAGAAGTTATATTTACCTTATCTGTCACTCAAGGGCTTTGATTGTGGAACATTTCCTGGTTCTGGATCCCGGGTATTTGCATCTGTGTTAAATCTGACAGGCGGATAGACGTGTAACCTGGTATTTTATAATAGCTGTATTGTTGTTGTCGACATTTTGAAAAGCAGCCAAGAAATCCTTTTTATACCTTAAGCATTTTGGGCAATAACAAACAAAGGTCTTGTCCATGCTGTGAGAAAAGATTGAGCTCAACTTTGCCTGGGGATTCATAACCTGGCAGGAAAAATTTACTTGTGGGGAAAGGTGGCTTTGTAAATCTCAGCCCAGTGCCTAATTGCTTTATAAATTCTAGAAGGAACTTATCCTTGCCAGTGCAAGGATTTATAGTAAAGCAAAGAGTTTCCAGTCACTTCTTATGTTCTTTGTTCTGTCTTTTTCCTATGATGAAATCCTGGGACTAAAACTCAAAAGGTGGAGTGGAAAATCTCCCTTTAGGAAACATTTGCTTGTGAGTCTTCTCACCTTTGATAATTCTCTATCTCAATAATGCATGAATAAATTGTGCTTATCTGTCTTAGAATTTTCTGGACATAATGTTGATTTCACAGAAGAGCTCATGAATTCATCTAAAGACTGCACAAGTGATTTGTCCAGAGATTATTTCTCCAACATTTAAGGTGTTGGCATGATGGTTGTATATGGGGGCGAGAAAGTAAAAGGCAAATCGCCACTCAAATACAGTAGTTACAAAATGAAAACTGGATTCTGTTGCCTCACTCAGTGAAACAATACCCCTGAGAAAAGAGGCAATTATTACTCCGATTTTGCACGTGGGAACAGAACCTGATATGTTAGATTTGTGTATAAATTAATTTCAAATCCAGGGGTACTTTGTGCCACTTAAATGGTAGCACTATTTCCTGAACTGAAATGGCATTGTGAATAAAATTTCAGACAGTATAGAAAATATTAAGCAGATTCTCTTTTCCCAAGACACCAATAAACCCATATAAAATTACCAGCATCAAAAACTGAAGGAGAGGAGAGAATCTGCAGATGTGGCATTGGGGGAAATACAGTAGACCGCATGTGTGCATTGAGAAGGCTGTGGAAGCTGATTCTGCCGGCGAGATTCCCTTTGCCATGCCTTTTCTCCAATGTCATCACCATGTTGTTAATAATCTTCAGTCTTCACTTAGTGTTACCTCCTCCTTTTACTTTTTAAAAGACACTTTCTTCCTGGGCTGTCCAGTGTGAGCACAGAGAATAGAAATAGGTAATAGGAAATGGCTGGGCCATTCTTTGTCGGAAACTCTAGGAAAGGTACTGCATGTTATGCTATGCACTTCTGAGGATCTAGCTTTGTGGTGCTTTCTGTGTCTGACCTGAACTCTGGTGCTTGAGAGCAGAGAGAGAGAGAGCAAAGGAAAGCACCCCACCCTGCAGTGTAGGAGCAGTTATGCAATTATGCTTACTGTGTAAGATGTATCAAATGGTTGACATGTGATTTAAACCATGGTCAGAATATTGTGGCCAGCCTTTGGTTTTCCAAGAAGGTTGTCAAGTCAGGGCTAGGTTGAGAAGCGCACTTGCTTCCTTGGCTACCAATGCTAAGACGATATGATAGATGTTTTGATATTAACAGAAGCCAAGGAAACAAATTATATCTTTAAAACTTTTAGATAGATACTGGAATCAGGAAATTTCATAGTAGAACTGAAATGCTTCTTGCCTAAACCGTTTCTGTTTTCAAAAGAGCTGGTGTGTTTGAAATTATTTTCTTATATTGCCCAAACAAGACACTGGAGTCTGGTTTACTTAATAGTGAACATTTATTTTATCACAGTTCTGAAGTCTGGACAGCTGAAACAAGAGTGCCAGCTTGTCTAGAGAGCTGGTGAGGACTCCCTGGTTGTCCTGCTGGCTATTCAAGGAGTTCATTAGAATACATTAATTCTATTAAACAGCCATCCCACCAGACCCCTCTTAGTCCTCATCACCTTCTAAAGCCTTCTCTCCAGATGTCGCACTGGAGAGTCAAGGTTCTGCATAGCAAATCGGAAGGACACAGATTCAATTCATAACATTTTCCAATCTCTCCTGTCTCTTAGCAAGCATTGCTGAATCTTTCCTCACTGATATGGCCCTGGTAAAGGAGGAGGGAACGGATTCATGGTGGGACTAAACACCTGAGAAGGGGGCATTCCACAAGGTCTCCCTTTACTTACGGCTATTTATTTCTTTGCCTATTTTTGGTGATGTGGTTGCTTTCTGCAACACTTTCTACCAGAACATTCCAAACTTTCGCATGAAAGGAGATCTCCTCACTTTCCTCTAGACTCCTGGTGACAGATGGGTGAGAGCCATCTTTTTAATTGTTTATGACTTCCCATGACCAGTAAATGGAGTCTGATGAACACTGTTAAATTCCCTGCAGTGCAGGTCATTTTGAGAACAAGTTTTATGTCCTTTTAATAGACCTGTTTATTGTTCATAAATTCAGTGGTGTACCCAGGGTGGGTCTGTCTGCTGAAACACACACAGGGGACATTGTTCTCTGTGCATTGTGTCTTGGAGGTGTTTCGTCTTCACAGGTGGTAGAGATCGCTGACCAAACTGAGTTTTACCTTTGCAGAAAAGAGACTGCCTTGCCATGGTGTTAGATCTAACCCGCATTAGTTCCCTTTCTAATTGCTGTGACAATATACCTGACAAAATCAACTGATTTTATGTTAACTGAGTTTATGTTAACTCACAGTTTGAGTGCATGGTATCCATGGAAGAAAGCCACTACTAAGGAAAATCATGTATTTTTGTTCCTACATAAAAATGTCAGATTAGGGAGAAAATCCTGCTAGAAGTATAAAGTTCTATACGAAATGCTAGGAAAAATATTGGAAGAATAGAAGATACTATGTACAAAGTCACCCTCTGTGTAAAGACAGCAGACAGTACATTGATAACTTGTCTAAGTTTGGTACGGTCTCTTACCAACTATAATTATACCCCCTCAAATACTTAGCAAACTACTAAAACAGGGGGCTTCGAGCTCAAAGTGAGTTTAGAAGCTGTAGGGATTCAAATATATAGCTTCGTGCTAAAAAGCAGACATGCAAGAAATTAAAAATATAGCCCAAAGGTTTAATGTTGCCTTTTAAGTGTGCTTAAATTCATATTCATATCCCAACAGTCTGTCTTCGGCAGTGAGGGTTGATATAGGGACGATATAAACACATCTACTTCCAATGAGAGCTTCCACAAATCCTATTTTGATAAGGTCTTAAATCTGTTGTGATCAGGCCATAAAATTCCCCTACAGTTTCAGCAATACATGAAAACAGTGCTCAACAGTTTTTTTCCTTTTAATTTTGTATGCAGACTGTATAACCTCTGTGTGTAAATCTTCCCCCTTCTCCAATGCCTGGGGGAAAAATATGGGCGACATGCGGTATGTGAGGAACGTTTCAAGTATAAATATAAAACTTGGTTTGTAAATTTTAACTTGCCTTTTAATAATTTTTCTGACTTATAGGGGTGTGTGTGTGTGTGTGTGTGTGAACTTAGAGATTTAATGGGAAAGTGTGATAATTGCTGTAGGTGCCAGACCAGAGCTGTTCAGAGGTCAGAAATTTACCAAAGAGTGAGTTCTTCATCAGTGGGAGGATGTCTTAGGTGATACGTAGAATCGTGGCTATAGATGACAGAAGGTCTTGCTAATGTGATTTATGCCATTAAATTACAGAGACCAACAGAACACATACAAATGTTTCCCAAGGAAGAGCCCTGCCAAGTATTCTCCATTTCTGATAGCAGAATTGCAAGCTGCTCTTTAATTTCAGAGAATCCCTTTATCAGGTGGCTGCTTATGGGGAAGTGTGAGCACGAGCACTCACCAAGTGCTGTGGTACCTTAGAAGCAGAGGAAGATAACATTTAAAGAACCCACTATCAGAATCGCAGTCCTTAAACTCTCCGTGGTTTGCTGTTGATACAGAACTCTATCCTCTGAAGATGACTTCTGAATGGAAATGTGCTCTGGAAAAAGCCCTAATTGTTGCTGCTGAGTCTCCTCTTCCAATGGAAGTATTTAAGGTGAGTTGTGAATGTCATCAGTCTCTCTCTCTCCTTTCCTTATTTATTCCCCTTCCCTCACCATTCCTTTTCTCAGATACAAACTAAACTGTTGGAGGACCGTGGAAATGGCTTAGTGGGTAATGTTCTTGCCGTGCAAGTATGAGGTTCTATCCCCAGCACCCATGTAAAGATGGACACTGTAATGTGTATCTGTAAACTGGATTCACTGATGACCACCTGTAATCCCAGTGCTCCTAAGGTGTTAATGCACAGCTGTAAATGGATGTGCTAATGCACATGTACAATCCCAGAACTCCTACAGTGTCAATGCACTCTTGTGATCCCAATGCTCCCATGGTGTTATTGTACACCTGTAATGCCATCCCTAATACGGTGTTGATGCACATCTGTAAATGGATGTATTCACGCACACATGTAATTCCAGTGCTCCTATGGTGTTAATGCACATGTGTAATAGCAGTGCTCCTATGGTGTTGATGCATATGTGTAATCCCAGCACTCCTGTGGTGGGATGGGAGGCAGAGACAGGATGAGCTAGCTGGCCTGGAATATGGTGCTGTAAGAAACATTGTGTTGACTGACACCTTCTTGTTTTCATAGGTGTACTGTGCCATGCATGCACCTTCATGCACATACATGAACATACATGTATGCACATGTCATACATACACATATGTTATGCACACAAACATCACACAAACCAATTTGAAAAAGAAAAGGAAAACTACTGTACAGCAAATCTGGTCCCATGGTGAGGAAACTGCCTGCTTTGCCCATTTCCATTTTAAACTCTGAAAATTGTGTCTGCTCCCATTGTTGCTTTAAAAATGACTTTTCATAAATATTTGTGTCATAGGATGGTGATTAAAATATTCTTGTTTCTTCTTCTCTGTGATGAAAATCTGTTTAATCCTCCTGCATTTCTTACTGAAGTGACAAAGGACATTACATCAAGTCTAACTCTACTGCTTTTTTTAAGGGAGTAAAAATGAGGGGCTGTAGAGACAACTCGGTGGGTCAAGTGCTTGCCTCACTAGCGGGAGGACCTGAGTGTGAGTCCCTTAGGACCCATGTAAAAAGGGGGACATGGTGGCACACACTTGGTTTTTTAAAAATTTTTATTTTTTCTATTTTTTATTTAAATTAGAAACAAGATTGTTTTACATGTCAATCCCAGTTCCCTATCCCTCCCCTCCTCCCCTGTCCCCCACTAACTCCCTATCCCATCCCCTTTTTGCTCCCCAGGGAGGGCGAGCATGGGGGATCCCCTTCCATGGGGGATCTTCACAGTCTGTTATATCATTTGGAGCAGGGCCTAAGACCCTCTCACATGGTGGCACACACTTGTAATCTTAGCACTTGGGTGGTAGAGAGAAGTAGATGGGGGAACTGTGTGGAGGGAAGGGGGGAGGGAGGAAGGGAGGGAGGGTGACCAGGACAAGGGAGGGGGAGAATTGCTTTTTTTTTCTTACACTCAGTTTTCTCAGTAGTTGATGAGACTCTGTCTGGAGTGTCTGCTACATACCATGCTTTTGCTAGGTCCTCTCCTACAGCAGTGAATGAAGTAGGAAACATAATTCAGCTGCAGTGGATTGTCAAGCTCTTACCTTTTAAAATCACATTGACACCCTAGGAATTGTGGTTTTAGTCTGAGAGGCTTGGGAGACAGTGTTGGTCTTCCAGGGTGGTCTCATGATTGTCTCCCGAGTTCTTGCTGTCCACACTAACTGTGTGAGCTCTCGCTTTCCTTTTGGAGGTAGCTGCAGTTCTCACTTCTGAGTCTTTTAAGGAGTCTGCACTATTAATGGGGTTAGTGCTGGGCCTTTGTGCTGAAGATACCCGTTTTGATTTTGCTGAATTGGTTAAATTACATTCTTGTCATCAGCTCTTTTGCCCTTCCATACCTCTGTGGCTGCATAGTGAGCTCCTATGCAGACAGAACAAGCCAACCCGCTACCCCTCACCTCTGCTGCAGTTATGCTTATTGTTTAGGACAAATGTAAGTGGGTGTTTTGTTTGACACCTTAGTCTGAACTTTTTTTCAGAACCCCTCATTACTGGGGTTTTAGTGCTGAACATTGGTGCCTCATTTTTCCAAGACCTGTCAAATCTAGTATGCTGCTGCTTCTCCTTGGAGTGTTGTGAGGGGATAGGGTACCTCCACCTGGGTATTTTTTTTGTTTGTTTGTTTTTTAATGTTCTTCTAGTTCCCTTCATACCTGAATTTTTTCCTGTAAATTGTTACTCTCCTCCAAATCTCAAATATAAATTATCTGAAGAATTCTGGACCTGGGCTCCTGGTCTCACTACCCAGCCTTGATGAGGCTCCGTGATCAGCTCCTGTGGCATCCTGTGTGCCACAGAAATGTTTAGTCATTTGTATACTTCTGTGCATAACACCCACAAAGTTTTGCCAAACTTGAAGTTCCAGGAAATAAAGGGCTATATGTTTTGTGAATGGCTGGAAACAAAATCCCTGGCATGTAATAACTATTTTTCAAATAAACAGATTCTTGAATGGACCACATGCATTGAACTCACCAAAATTTGAGTTAATATACTTATGGATGAATTGAACATATGACTGTACTTAGTACTGTGAATCCTAAGACTTGAAAGGCAGAAACATTAATAGTCTCAATCTGTTTTTAATTAAAAAGGAGCAGCCATTCTTTGCAAAAGACCATTATGTCTTGTTGCCCTGATTCCAAGACTTAACTTAAGTTGGTCTGCTTTTTCTAAAATACAATTGTCTTCTTTCCTCACCTTAAATCCATCCTATGAGAATTCAGACCATTCTCTTGATATATTGCTATCTCAGAATTACCCTCTTCCTCAATGTTTTGCTATGACTAAGCACAACTTTAAGAGTAGGTACTGAGTACCACTGTGGGACTTAGCACAAAGACAGGGTCCATGTGGTAGGGACTTCATAAATAAAAGTTGGCTGTACTCAGTATTTGTGTTGTTAAAGTAGTTGATGGAAGAGACAAGAACCAGATAGTTTTATTTGGATGAATCCTTAATTAATTTTGTGTCTAAGAAGTTTGTTCCCTAAACCTACTGTAGTAAATTGCCATGGACTGAGCAACTTATAGACAATAGTGAGCTTACTTTCTCACACTTTTCCAGGTTATAATTTAAATCAAGCCAAGAACAGGTTTGGAATCCACCTGAAGAGAAATGTGTTTGGCAATCTGTATAACTTTTGGGTCCACCTGTCAAATCTGAAATCCTTTGGTTTGTAGTGGCATCAGTCCAGTTTTCCATCTTATCTTCCCATGTTCATGACTTCATAGTCTGTGTGTCTGTCCACATTTCCCGGTACTAATAATGAACTTATGCTTACCCAGAACAACTCATTATGAATACATTTGCAAAGACCTTGCTTCCAAAGGAGGTGTCTTATTCATGGGCTCCCGCAGTTGTAACCCTGAAGGGGATGCTCTTTTCTACCCAATACCACCACATTTCACATACAGTCAGTAATTTGTAAACAAAATTCTCTGCTGCGTTCCTCAAATGAATGTATGCATTGCTAATCATGCTCAGAGAAATTGCAGGAATGTGTGTGATGAGGGTCAGATTGTTTCCGCAGTTGCTTCCTGTTTTTCTTTCACATGTGTTTTTAAGAGTCCCTGCAATATTTCTCTGTAGGTCTCTGTAAGGCTGACCGTACCCTGCCCCGCCTCTGTACACCCCTTTTCATGCTGTGTGGACTATATGTATGTATACATGTACATATGTGTCCCAGTGTATATTGAGGACAAAAGTGAACATTGGTTACCTTCCTCAGCTGCTCTCCACCTTGTTTTTTGAGACAGTATTGGAACTGAGGAATTTGGCCAGAATCGCTGGCCAACAGGCTCTAGCCATCTTTCTGTTTCTGTTTCTACAAAGTGCTGGGATTACAGGCACATGCTGCCATGTCTTTACATGGGTACTAGGGATCCAAACTCAAGTCCTCAGGGCTGCACAGCAAACACTTTATCAACTGAGCCATCTCTCGAGCTCAGAATAATTCTCATAGACATATAATGATGATACATATATATCTGCATCTATGTATTTCCCCTGTTATGATCAGTGTTTCTCAGTGAGCAGACTTCGCTTCTATTTCTGTCATTATAGCGCCAGGGATATATGTTTGAATTCAGCAGCGACTCATCTGGGATGCATGTTGTTATGGAAAATTGCGTTAGTGTTCTGTGGTTATGAGACAGAAGTCAAAGCTAAGCACATTTAATGGCCAGATATGAGCAGTATTTCTAGGCAATTCTTTTTATTATTTTTACACTTTAGATAAAGTAGGCATTTGATGGAATGGCTCTCATTATGTGCAGCTCCTTTCTTTGGGTGATGTGTTCACAGACTGCGTCTCTTCGTGCAGCCAGGCATGTTCATGGGCTCTGTGTTTCCTCTGCCTTGAACATAGGCAGAAAAAATACACCAAGAGGCTCATCAGTAGGCTTTTTTGCTGTTCACCTGGATCTGAGACAAAATAACAAACAGCTTTGAGATTGTCTTGTTTTGAAGAAATTTTGACTGGCTGTTTATGGACAATAGAGATAGCCCTTAACATGTAAACTCAGTCAAAAAAGAGTAGTTAATGTCCCAAGTTAAAATAAAAACTGAGGGATATTAGAAAATGTGTTTTACTGGGAAATAAATAAGGATTTCTCCCTAAGGATTTAGTAGTTTAAGAGGTTTAGCAAAATGTTCCTATTGTGGAAGTAACTTATTCTTTAAAAAATGACAGAGAAGGGTGGGGGATGGAGATGTGGCTCAGTTGTGTGCTCGCCTAGCGTGTGCAATGCGCTTGGATTGGTCTCCAGCACCGGATACACCTGATGTGGTAGCACATGACTATAATCCCAGCACTCTGGTGGGGGAGGCAGGAGAACCAGAGGGTTTGAGGTTATCCTGGACTACTTGAGTCTCTGCCTCAAAAAGAATCAACGGTGATAATGGCATTGGGGACCATGTTGCTTATTCAC